TTCACAGTGCAAATCAAAACTCATGTTTTAGCTCATATGGTTAAGGACCATTCTGAATTTTTTGTCTGTGTGTGTACAAAATTCTTATGTAAGTGGTTTTAATTTTGTATTTAAACATTCATCAAAACAAAAACTATGGGTGATAACCTCATGTTTGAGACACAATCATTCTAAGCAACCCACAAAATCACTTCCAGTTGAATAGAAATTTTCCTGAAGCCATAACCTTTTAAGTTAAATAGATGGTTCTGTGGTTAATTGGACAGTTTAAAGTAGATATTTTCAAAGCAGCCATATCAGAATCTGTATCTGTCTTTAGTCACAAAAATGCAATTTACTTCTAAAACTCCCCCCCAAAAATGTCTTATCTAGCTGAACATGGTGGCATATACCTACAATCCCAGCACTTGGGAGGCTGAAGCAGGAGGATACTAGGAGTTCAAGACCAGCCTGGGCTACAAGGTGAGCACAAGGCCAGCCTGAACTGCATAGCGAGACCCTGTCTCAAAAAGAGAAAAAAAAAAAAAATTCTTATCTCTGCCAACAACTTTCCCACCCAAATAAGGTAGAAAGTCAAAATTTGGTTTGTTTGAATTTGCTAAGGAAGACTTAACAAGGGAACGTTAGAAATTCCTCAAGACTCATTACTTCACAGCAAGATGAAATCTGCACTTAAAAGTCAGGATTCATGGATGTCTTGAAGACTTGGCTCACAGAAACCGACTGAGTGGCTGGAGGTTTTCACAACTTAGGACCTAGAATAAATGAGTAGACAAACTTGTAATCTAAACTACTGACCCACATGTTTTTTCTTGGCCCCAACTTGTTCCTTACATGTAGGCTCAATCTTTTCAGTATTCGGGTTACTGTTTTCAGCAGAAGTCAGGAAAACAACTTGGTAGTAGTCAGAATGTTATCCTAACGTATACTGTTTATTTTATTGTAAATAATGGTGAGCAGTGCTCAATAAATAGTTTTATATTCCTTTAAAAAAAAAAAGTCCAAACTTAAGCACACCACCCCCTCTCTGAGGGTCTTTAGTAGTGCTGTTCTTGCCATAAAAATCATCTTCCCTGGCTAGGGAGATAGACTGGCGGTCTAAGTGCCTGACTGGTGAGCATAAGGACCGGGGTTTGATCCCCAGTACGAAATCCTACACCAGCCCTGGAACCCCGGGCTCACCATGCCAGCCACTGAAACTAGGGTTGGTGGTACACACCTGTAATCAATCCCAGCACTGGTGAGGCTGAGACAGGAGGATCACTATGAATCCAAACTGTATAGCAAGACCCAGTGCCAAATAAATAAGTAAATAAAAAAATTTTTAAAAATGTTTTTAAATCATCTTCCCTGCCGTGACATGGTAACCTTCTGTGACCGACACCCTGCCTTCCCTTCACACGTCATCCTCCGACTCTCTCACTACATTTCAGCAATAATGCCCCTTGCCACCGCCCCCGGATTGCCATGCACCTCAGGACCGAAGCATGTGCTATTGTACAGAACAGAAAAGGGTTTCTTTTCTGCATGCCCCATTTATAATAATGCTTTAGATCTCTGCTTAAGTGTTATTTCCTTAAAAACCAATAGTAAAAAAAACAAATTTGCATTGCTCCTAAAAATTGTCAACTCCCTTTTGTTAGGTCTTATTTTACTCTAGTTTTCCCCCAATGCATTTTTAAACTTTAAGATCACATTTACTCGCAACATTAGATGGGTATGTCGTACTCGTCTATTGCACCATGAGTGGCGTAAGAGCGAGGAGTGTCTCTCTCCTGTTTCCAATGGTACCCTAAGTAAGTTAGTCGAAGCTCAGTAACTGTATGCTTTAGAATGAACAAATGAAATCACCAAGGGAGTTTCTTGAGACTTCAGGCTTATCTAAAACCACTCATAATGTAAATCATAGCTATTTGCTCTGGAAATATATTTCGGTCTCACTGAGAAACCCCATACAGACTTCAGAGTGTGGTAGGCCCTCAGTAAGTTCCCCAAGTTTGTCCTCACAGAGAAAAGCTCTTTAGGACATGGTGAGTCACACTGCACGCTGTCACCAAAGGGCTTCCTCCCAGAGAGCTCTGGTTTCAGGTTCCCCAGAAGGGCACCCAAGTGCTGAGAGTCAGATTCCTCATTAGTCCAGGTTTTGGAGGTCAGTGGAACAGGTGCCTGGGGCCCCACACAGAGGAGAAGAGGTCATGAAGCTGCTCAGCACCGATATCTGAAGGCTGACAAGGCT